CATTTTTTCACAAAGCGAGCATTTACCGAAAAAACGACCGGACTTCATGCAAAAAACCGGCAATCACGCACCTGGATGTCCGTGCGACTCTATAATGCACCAACTTCATCCCAACTGACTCCCTTCCTCTTGAATGCCGTAAAGGATCAAAGCACGGCCAATATGAGCCTAAGTGTTAGGCTACAGCGTAGAAATCATTTCTACTAATAACGATCTGCGAGTTTCGTGCAAAAACGCATGATCGCACCAGAGAGCCTGGTGCGTTCCAGCCTGGGTTGGATTATTGCGGGCTTACAACCGGCATTAACTTACTCAAAAAGTGCATAAATCACTCCGACCTCACTGCAGCACCGCTCTTGTGTTAAAGTCGCCCAATTCGGAAAAATATGTCACTTGATAACTTGTACAGATTTTGTTTAGCCGATATACACTTCATTTACATATTCAGTTAACTTTTCATGCCAGGTGACAACAAAATAATCCTGAAACACGAAGTTAAGGCAAAACTATTATAGAGCGTGCTCGCGACTACCTCGAGAAAACCCATGGATGTGAAGTTGTTGAAGGTATCATAAGCCCGGCAGCTGATGACTACGGACAAACGGATTTAATACCAGCAAAACACAGATTGAAAATGGTTCAGCTGGCAGTCAAATCGTCACTCTGGATCAGGTAATGCAACAGATTAGATAACGCATTTATTTCTATTTTGTTTTCTTAAGTAATTGGGCCACGAAAAAAATGACAAGCTCTTGGATAGGACATTAATTCGCTTAAGCTGAATATGGCGCGCCAGAAAGCAGTGTAGGGAATTACTCGGATGAATTCCGAAGAGATTCGTCTATTCACGAGACAGCGATGGCACTAATCACGTTGCTCAGAACAGAAACGCTGGTATAGTTAAACGCAACTTGTTGCTGCTCTCGTGATAGCATCAAGGGATCAAGGCAACTATTCGGCATCAGAATCACTTAAATAAAGTCATGAAAAAACTGCACTGAAAATCACTAGATTTTATTCCATTATAGTGTTGCGGATAATGAAAATCTAATTAAAGAAGCTGCTTGTTACTCTCTTTCTGGCACCACTAATTAGTGCGGCAAGTTCACCGGTTGTCAGCAAAGCGAGCATATAACCTGCCGATCCGATTTTGCCTCACTTAATCGCAACAATGTTCTGCACCCCGCTTATCTGCCGTAGTGCCTGTTTATGTGACCAAGCTTGTATTTACAATCCTACTATGGAACAGGTCTCGAAGACACAATTTTGGTAACTCCGCTTACCACATACACTGGCGCATCACTCTGCTATATATTCTCTATATTCAGATAAAAAATCGTTCTTTTTTTCTTTTTTTTCGGTACACCTTCCTACTTACTTTTCACTTCAGTAACTGATGGCAGCTGTCGTTAGCAGAAAGTTCAGTTTGAGGAAAAAGGAGTGCAGTGCAGTTTTAAAAGGCTTTTGAACGGTGATTACAGAGCAGATGGCTGGGCTTGTTCACAGGATAGATGGACGAAAACCATTCATGTGCTGCACCATTTCAAGGAGGAGCTGGATCAGAAATACGGAATGGGCGCCAAAAGCGTGCGGTTGCTTCTTCTGTGTGGCGGCGACGTCATTGACAACATCATCAAGTCTGCTGTGTCTGAAGTCATTCTGTGGGACCAAGAACAAGTTGGTTGCTCGCTGTTTGCTTCTTCACCATGCCGGTAACGATACTAGCGATTTTTTTAGCTATTATAGTTTCCGAGCTAGCGATTCTCTCGTCAAAAATTTCATGCGTTCGTACGCGTAACCTAGACGTGTGTGAGTGTTGCTACCGCGGTTCTGGGATGGCACTTGGCCAGGAAACCCAGTGGCAAAATTTTGACGCCGAAGCTTACTTGAAGTACTCGGACAGACGCACACACACATGCACACACCGGGGTCGTCACAATATGCATTTTTGCATTTGCAT